TAAAATTCTAGGCTTGGCATGTTGCTCAGTGGTGGAGCACTTGCCCAGCATATGTGAGGTCCCCAGTTCAAGCCCCACCACTACACACACAAAAAAATTATAGGATTCAACCATTTTTAATACAGTCACAAAATACAACCATCATTACAGTTTTAGATAAGAAACACTCACCAGCAGTCACCCCTTTGTTTCCCCTTAGAAAGTAATCTTTTGGGACTGGCTTCGTTCACTTAGCAAAATATTTTCAACTTTCATTTATATTGTAGCATTTATTAATAACTCTTTCCTTTTATGGCTGAATAATATTTCACTATATGGATCTACCACATTCATCAATCAATACACGTATGATTTGTTTATAGTTTTTGGCTAACATGTATGAGATTGCTGAGGACATTCATGGACATGTTTTAGTGTGAACATGTTTTCATTTCTCTGGGGTATTCACCTATGAGTAGAACTGCTAGGTCACATGCTAGCTTCATGATGAACATTTTGAGAGACTGCCAGACTATTTCACAAAGTGGCTACACTATCTTCCATTTCCCCACCAGCAATCTGTGAGGGCTACATTTTCTCCATACCTTTACCAAAACTGGTCCATTGTCTTATTATAACCATCTGTGTTTGAAGTGATATTTCCTTGTGTTCCGATTTACATTTCCTCTATGGCTAATGATATTGAAGATCTTTTCCTCTACATTTGTGTATCTTCTTTGGAGAAATGTGTGTTCAAATACTTTGCCTGTCCAATCAGTGGATTATTTCAAGGGTTATAGGAGTTCTTTAAGTATCTGGTTATAAATCTCTTATCAGATTCAGCTGATCACAGGAACATCAAACCATTGCTCTTAGAAGAAATACGTACCTATATGTACATTTCTCACATAAATTAAATTTCTCAAATAAGTTAAATTTTAAAGATGCCTCTCCCTAGTAGCTTCTGTTTGCTTTTCTTTTTCTTTTTTTTTAAAAATATGTCTTAGTTGTTGATGGACCTTTATTTTATTCATTTATTTATATGTGGTGCTGAAATCGAACCTAGTGCCTCACACATGCTAGGCAAGTGCTCTACCACTGAACCACAACCCCAGCCCCAGCTTCTATTTTCTTTACAAAAGAGAAAAAGAGGTTCAGAAGTGTTAAGTAACTTGCCTTGGCTGCTGCACCTATTATTCCCAAAGTTGGCATTCATACCCTACCCAGCTCCCCCGAGAGCTTCTTCAACTACACTGCTATGCCCCCTCCCTTGAATCTCTATGCAAGAGTTGAACCTTCCTGGTTCAGCATCTACCAGGGACATCTGTGTCTTCTTCCCTGCTCTGTGCATGACTGCAAATGACCAGGGAAAGCTCTGAGTTTTGATTTTGAAAGTTACAAATTTTAGGACATAGTGCACTTCATAAATATGGAATCCACTAATAATGAGGATCAACTGCATGTAGTTTGCAAATATTTTTCCCCATTCTGTGAGTTATCTTCATGGTCTAGATAGTATCCTTTAAAGCACAAAAGTTTGACATCTTGATGAAGTCTAATTTAAAATTTTTGTTGTTGTTGTTGTTGTTGTTTGAGCTTTTGGTATCATGTCTAAGAAGGTTTTGCCTTACTCGGGGTCATCAAGATTTATTCCTGTGTTTTCTTCTATGAATCCCATAGTTTGAGTTCTTACATTCAGGTCAGTATTTTAAGTTAGTTTGCGCATGGTATAAGAAAGAGGTTCAATTTCATTCCTTTCCTAAAGAAGGGGAAAAAAGGATTCTTTTGACCTCCACTGAATTGTTTTGGCATTTGTATAGGAAATCAATTCATCATAAATGCAGGGTTTATTTTTGGTACTTCCAATTCAGTCCCACTGATCTTTATTTCTATTTTTCAAGCCATCTTGATTAATTTAGCTTTGCAGGAAGTTTTGAAATCAGAAAGTGTGAATCTTCAACTTTGTTCTTCCTATGTCTTTTGAGTATTTTTCAATACTTTCAGATTGTAGAGCAATAAGACTATTGGACTGATGAGGGAATCCCAATATTTAATACATTAAAATTCATTTTATTATAAGGTGTATTTCTAGAGTCAAATAGAAATGTCCATTTCTAATGTCTTTTTCAATTGTAATTTTCTTCACTGTTGTGATAATTTAATATACTTTGTTTCTGCTAAAACAATATGAAATAGCAATTGTGACTTAATGATTTCTCCTAATTCTAATGCTTAGATTATTTAAGGTGTGCTTTGTTTCTCCTATCTGTTTAGGTAGGTGGAGAGTTTTCAAACGTTGTCATACCCCAGATGAAGACTTTTGGAAGAATTGCCATCTGTGGGGCCATCTCCACATACAACCGGACTGGTCTGCCTCCCCCAGGTAATGAGCTCATGCGGTGATCACAGGCTAGGAAGCTTGGGGAGGCTTCATAGATATGAGAAGGTCATCAAAATGTGAGAATGACTTCCTGATAGTATGGATGAAATTTAAGAACATAGCATTTATTAAAATAAAATATATGATCTCATATATTTTCTGCTAAATCAGCTTAGATTTACTTATTTATTTTGTAGCACTTGAAACCAAGGACACTTTACAAGTGAGATACACCCCAGCCCCTTTATTTCTCCCTCAGCTTGTTTTTTATTTTTTATTTTGAGACAGGGTCTTGCTAAGTTCTCACAGCTGGCCTCAGACTTTAAATCCTCCTACCTCGGCCTTCTAAGCAGCTGATTTTAGAGGTGTGCACCACCACACCTGACTTATATTAGATTTCAATATGAAAAATTAACAGGGGGGGGGGGCTGGGGTTGTGGCTCAGCGGTAGAACACTAGCCTCGCACGTTCGAGTGCCTGGGTTCGATCCTCAGCACCACATAAAAATAACTAAATAAAAATAAAGGTATTGTGTCCACCTACAACTAAAAAATATTTTTTTTAAAAAAGAAAGAAAAATAACAAGAGCGCAGAAGAAACACTTATAACAAGTTCTAGTTTTTTACCTATCACTTTCTGCCAATTTGTAAAAAGACAGCCATGATTTGACTTAGAACACTTTGGCTCTCCGTGGTATTAGATGACTAGGTGGTGGAGGTGTGCGGTGGTGGAGGGTGACTTGACACTGCTCAAGGGAAGGGTAGGCTATCGGTCCTATAGTCTCAGGCAGTGCTTCCCAGTAGCAAGACAGTTGGCCTGACCAGTCTGACAGTTGCATTTCCCTAGCAATGCTCCATTGTGTGTTTTGTTTCTCCACTGCCCTGCTGTGCCCGGCATCCCCCATTCTCCACTGTCTTGTACTGGTCTTCCCTCCCCCGCCACACTCACAAAGGTTCAACAGCAGTATCAACAGAAAACTGTATTCATCTTTCCCAGTCCTATGAAAGGTCTTGTATAGGCCTCATATCTCAGATGGGAAGATGAATGGCCAAGACAGTTAGAGACTCCTTAAATCCTATTAGCAGCAGACATAAAACAGACTAGTCTTCTGAGCTCCTCATATAGCAAGCAACAAAATCCTTTCTGCTACAATGGTTCTGTGCTGTTATCAATATTACAGATTTACTGTGGTCCCCCAAAAAGGAGAAAAAACGAATAAAAATGAGTCTTCTAGACTACAGTCAAGTTCTAGACAACCATAAATGGTTCACTCATTCTATGATGGGCTTCACTAATGGGAATGAAGTTTTATAGTCTCACTAATTAACAACACAACTGCATGAAGAGGGTGGCTGAGAGTGGAAGGGGCAACTTACAGATTCTCTCTTGGGCTGTAAAAAAATAAGAGAAACTAGCTTCTCTAAGAAGGAAATTCCAGATTCACTTGGCAACCTTATTGTTAGGAACTTTTTTTTCACCTTTATTTTTCTTTTCTTTTTTTTTATTATTTTTTTTTATTGGTTGTTCAAAACATTACAAAGCTCTTGACATATCATGTTTCATACATTAGATTCAAGTTGGTTATGAACTCCCATTTTTACCCCAAATACAGATTGCAGAATCACATCTGTTACACATCTACATTTTTACATAATGCCCTATTAGTAACTGTTGTATTCTACCTTTATTTTTCTAATCGATGAGCTAGAATCATGAGAAATCATCTGCCTGCTAACTGAGCAGAGTTCTACGATGCTTTTGCTTAGACACATCTAATTAGGTTTAAGTAACTTGAACTGGTCTTTTTAAAAAAAAAAATTGTTTTTCAGTTGTAGTTGGACACAATACCTTTATTTTGTTTATTTTTATATGGTGCGGAGGATCAAACCCAGGGCCTCGCACATGCTAGGCAAACACTCTACCGATAAGCCACAATCCTAGCCCCTTGACCTGGTCTTTTTAGCAATTAGTCTTTGGAAGTTCAACTACTCAGGTAGATCTGGGAGATGTTAACTGACTGTCCATTCTATTTTAACCAGTTGGGATTCTGCCTTGCCTCGGATCTGTAGAAATTCCAACATATTCCATTAGTAGAATAGCTCAGGGCCAAGTAATTATTTCCACTAAACCTTACTGCCACATTTGCTTTTTTTTATTTTATTTTTTAGTTTTTGGTGGACACAACATCTTTGTTTGTATGTGGTGCTGAGGATCGAACCCGGGCTTCACGCATGCCAGGCGAGTGCGCTACTGCTTGAGCCACATCCCCAGCCCCCACATTTGCTTTTTTTTTTTAATCTCAAAAAATAAACTAGTTCCCATCAGGATGAACTAGGCCAGCAACAGTATTTCCGAGATTAAAAATATAGGAACTGGGGCTACAGCTCATTGATAGAACACTAGCCTAGCAATGTATGAGGCACTGGGTTCAATCTTAACACCACATGAAAGTAAATAAAGACATTCTGTCCATCTACGACTACAAAAAAAAAAAATAGAAATTCAGGTTTCTGGGGCTGGGGTTTGTAACTCAGTGGTAGCACACTTGTCTGGCTCATGTGAGGTACTGGGTTCAATCCTCAGCAACACATAAAAATAAATAAATAAAAATAAAGGTATTGTATTCATTTACAACTAAAAAAAGAAAGAAAGAAATACAGGTTCCAGTGTTTAACTCAAAAAGAAATATGGTTGATGTGGATCATCTGCAGAAGCATTCTTTCTGCCTCTAATTCAATTCTTTCTGGTTTTCATCCAATCTAGCATGTGGAAGTATTGCTCATCATGCATCAGTTTCTGTTGATTCAAAACAAAGCTCCATTTTTTTGCTGATGCTACTTTTCTCAAAGTAGTGAGTAGGGACCTTAGGCTTGCGTGACACCAACTATCTAGGGTGTTGAGGAAAGATTCCACCACTTGTCTCTTGTTTTCTGGTTCTGATATTCCCTAGGCATCTTCATCTGACTTCTTAGAATTTGTAAGACTTTGCTCAGGTATCATTCTCTCAATTTCTGGAAACAGGATTCCTGGGAAAATGAACCAAGCAACCAAAACAATCCTTTCTCTCTTACAGAAGAACGGTTCCTTCTTTACAGGCTGTAGGAGGACTTTGTGCTCTTTCTAGGCTAATGGTTTTCAAAGCGTGGACCCAGGACCGGCAGCTTAACTAGCTCCCGGGAATTTGTTAGAAATACAAATACTTGTCATGTGGGGTGTACACATCTGTAATCCCAGTGACCTAGAAGGCTGAGGCAGGAGCATTACAAGTTAGAGACCAGTCTCAGCAACTTAACGAGACCCTAAGCAACTTAGAGAAACCCGGTCTCAAAATAAAAAGGAGTAGAGATGTAGCCCAGTGGTTAAGTGCCCCTGGGTCCAACACCCCTTACAAAAGAAAGAAACACACTTTTGAAACACTCCAGATCTACAGTTCCAAACTATATTTCCCTCCTTCTCTCCCTCTCTCTCTACCTCTACCTCTATCTCATATCCCTGTTTCCATCATCATTTATTTTTTCCTGACCAATTTTCTTGGGCCTCTCTTTCCCTCACAAGAATACGTGTGATTTTTATTGAGATGGTGGTATGATCTAGAATAGTCTCCGGATCTCAAGATTCTTAATGTAATCACATCTACAAAATCCTCTTTGCCACATAAAGTAATATATTCACAGGTTCTGGGGTTTTGGATATGGGAGTCTCTGGGGCCATTGTTCTAAACTTACGACAGAAGACATGTTGATCGTCAGCAGCCCCATGTATCAGAAAGGGGCAGAGAGAATGAAGGGGAAACAGTGACAAGTGACTTTGATGGCTTGTGTTCCCACCCTGGAGAGCAACATGTAGACCCTATTGCTTAAATGTGCCCTCCTCTTTCAGGCCCACCCCCAGAAGCTGTTATCTATCAACAACTCCGCATGGAAGGGTTCATCGTCACCCGCTGGCAAGGAGATGTCCGCCAGAAGGCTCTGAAAGACTTGATGACATGGACCTCTGAGGTAAGGGAATCCAGAGCCACTCACTTGCATTGTACGCTAGATTCCATTGGCTTTTTGCCACTCAAGACCATCCACCTAGCAATTGGTCCCTTTCTCTGTTGCACTCCTTGTTACTTCCTGTCTTTTGGATCATTGTTTTTCAAATACAAACCTTGCTTTTCCCATCCTGAAAAGGAATATGAAACAACCCTCTTTAAATTTTATTTCTCCTGCAAATACAGGTTCATGTCACTGTTTCCCCCTTTGATAACAAAATACCTACCTGCAAGTGTTGTCTACCCTCATGCAGACATCTCCTTTCTTTCCATTGTCACTTGAATCCACATATCAGGCTTTTGCTTGGCCACAATTCCACCAAAATTACTTTCATCAAGGTCGCTGATGTCCCTCACCCTGGGAGATCCAGCGGCCGATTCTTAGCATTGCTTGGCAATGGCCAAGATTTGACAGTGATCTCTCTCATTGATGTGCTTTCTTTCCTGGTTTCCCTTATCTCTGATTTTGCCCCCACTGATTCGTCTTCCTCAGATTTCTCTTCTAGCTCCTACTTTCTAGATTAATAATATTAATAATAATTAATGTCCAGGGCATGGTCACTGGGTCTCTTTCCCTCTTACCCACACTCTGTCTATCCCTTAGTTAGCTCATCCAGGCTTGTGGTTTTAAATACGGACAGTATGCTGACAGCCCCCAAATTTCTATCTCCATCCTGATTTCTCCTGTGAAGTCCAAACTGGTATATCCAGCTGCTCAACTGCTGTACCTGGATGCCTAGTAACATCTCCAAGTTACCATGTCAAAAATGAAGTTTTAATCTTTCCTACTTGACCTGCTCCACATTCAGACTTTACCACCTCAATTATGGCACTTCTATCTTCCTGGTTGCTCCATCCTAAAATCTTGAAATCATCTTTGATTTCTTTCTTTCTCTCATACCCATATCTATAATCTGTCAGTAGATTCTGGTGGCCCAGTCTTCAAAAGATGTGCAGAATTTGACCACTTCTTCCACATCCTCTGCTACCACCCTGGTGCAGACTACCACCCTGTCTAACCTGGATGTTTGAAGCAGCCCCTAGCTGATCTCCCGCTTTTGCATCCCTATCGGTAATTCTCAACACAGCAGCTAGAGTAATCTTCTAAAGCATAAATCAGATTGTGATTCTTATGCTCAAAACCCTGCAAGGTTCCCCCTTTCGCTTAGAGTAAATCCAAAGTGCTTGTAATAACCTACAAGGCTGTACACAGTTGGCTCCTGATGCCTCTCTAGTTTCATTTCTTAGTGTTCGTCCCCTTGCTCGCTCTCCCAACTCCTCCCCCATCCTCCATAACTGTTTGCTTAATTTTCTCCTCTCCTTTGTGTATTTTTTAAATGGTACCCTGTGGATGAGGCAATTTTTAAATTAAAGAAAAAAAAAACTTTGACATATAATTTTACACATTTAGGAGGTATAGTCTAGTATTTCAATACATATATGCAGTATATAAGGATTATATCAGGGTAACTGGGATATCCAGTACATCAAACATTTATCATTTCTTTGATTGGAACATTCAAAATCTTTTCTGGTAGCTATTTTGAAATATACAATTAATTGTAGTGAATCACAATATGCTATAGAACATTAGAATGAATAAGCCAACTTTGAAAATGATCTTATGGGGGTGGCAAAAATGACAATAGCAGCTATAATGAAAAAGGATGAAGACTAGAAATGGCTATCAACAGAAGAATAGATAAATCAAATTGTAAAAAATACATACAACGTGATACTGTCCTTTCATAAAAAGAACAGACATGCAGTAACTTGATTGAATCTATTATAAAATCCAGACAAGAAACACTGTATTATCTCCTTTACATGAACATTAAGTGGTAAAAATCAGAACCCTAGTTGCCCATGGGAATGGAAATTAACCAGAAGAGAACACAAAGGAACTTTCCTGGACGATGGAAATGTTGTATATTGGTCTATGTTGTGAATGTTGTACATTTATAAAACACAGCTAAGTGCAACATCTGGCCATTTCACCATTTATTAATGTTACATCAGTGAATATGTACGTTAAAATGACCTTAAGTTCCAACCTCCATTTTTTCTAATACTCCTTATCATATCATCCACAGAAATCATCACAGTTTAATAAATACTATAATTCACTCCTTGATTTATATGTATTGCCTATCTCCCTTCCAAGAGACTACAGTCTCCACAAGGAAGAGCGGTGTTCATGCATTTTGTCTCCTGGTGTATCCCCAGCACCCAGAACAGCATCTAAGTCAACGTGGGCACTAACAGGGAAATGGATGTAGGCGTTAGACACATGTTGTTTGAATGAATAAATGTTAGAGGGGCATATCCATGGGCCATGGCTCTCCCGGTCCTGGATTGGAAAAAGCCTTCTTACAGCCATGCCTTTCCATCCAGAGGAAAAAGCTACTCCCTTTGTCTTGTGCTGTGACCGTTTTCCCAGCTTACCATGTGGAGTTTGAATCAACAGAAATCAGAAGGACCAAGATGCATTATTCTGGTGTTTGAGAGGAAAAGTGATACAATGCTTCCTAATTCCTGGCCTGCGATCATTTCCTGGTTCAAAGAAATAGATTGCTCCTCTGGCAGCCACTGGAGCTTGTTGATCTTCCGAGTCTCACACCTGGAGTGCTGGGTGGGGTTCTCTCCAGAGGGCTAAGAGCCAAATCATTTTCTGGTTTCCAGTGTGAAGCTTCTTTATCCTTGTTGGTGAAACTGAATCTAGTTCCTCTGTGGTCACAGTTGACAACAAGAAACCACTGTGCTGGTGTCCCTGATACTTCCTTCCAACAGAGTGAAACTGATGATATTTGCATTTTAAGTTATTTAATGGGTCAGCTTAATTTCTTTTTAATTCTCCCCCACTTTTATTTGTGGTGCTGGGAATTGAACCCAGGGCCTTGTGCACTCTACCACTGAGCTATATCCTCAGCCCCTTATCTTCTATTGTTTCAAATATACTTTTTATTTTAGAACAGTTTTAGATTCATAGAAAATAAAAGGAAGATAGTAGAGAGATATGCCCTGTATCCTATACCTTTATTTCTCCTATTGTTAACATTTTACATCAATATGTATATTAATTTTCTAGGACTACCATAACAAAATACCACAGACTGAGTGGCTTGAACAACAAAAATGTATTTTCTCACAGTCCTGTGGCTGGAAGTCTGAGACCAATGTGTCAGCAAGGTTATTTCTTCAGAGGCCTCTCCCCGAAACCTCACATAAGTCTGTGTGTATCTGTGTCCTAATGACTTATGACACTGGTCCTCTTGGGTTAGGGACTACCCATATGACCTCAATATATCTTAATTTCTTCTTAAAGGCCCTATTTTTCTAAGAGTCACATTCTTGGTATTGGGGATTAGGATTTTAGCAGAGAATTTGGGGCAGGGGGCACAACTCAGTCCATCAGTTCGTAACAGTATTCATTCTTCATTTTTAATCTTTAAACTGGATTCTAGCTTTCCATCCTATCCAGCTTCTCTGTCTCCTTTAAGAGCAGGACTGACCTTGGGCTTTCGAGTCAGGGGTTCAGATTCTAGCTTCCCAACACTGGAATGACTCTGACCTCGCTTTCCTATGTACATATAGGAATATACCACAGTGAACCTCACCATTATGTATATCTACAAGGCATTAACTTAAAAAAAAAACTATAAGTAAATACAAAGAGTAGAGGGAAGGAAATGGGGAGGGAGGAGGGTAGGGAAAGGGGAAGTATTGACAAATTCTATTCCATCCTCTTATAATCATGTCAAAATGAATCGTAATCTTATGTATGACTAAAAAGAACCAATCAAAAAATTCCAGCTTCCTCACTTTCTTAGTGACGTCAAGCAAATACTTTTGTCCATAAATTCACAAAGGTGCTCAGCCATCAGTACAATACATTAGGGGGAAATGGTTCAGGTCACTCAGACCTCTACCTAAGATCCCTTTCTAAAAAAATCTTTAAAATATAAATTAGTTCCACTTAGCAGACTATGTGCCTTGTACTAGAAGAAGAAATTTAAAAAAAAAAACCCTTCACTAACACTCCTAAATAATGTTAAGCACAAACTGAATGAGCCTGGTCTTAAAGGGGAGACAAATGATTGTTCTGCCGCGGTGTTTATATTTTCTGAATAGGCCCTGCCTCAGCAAGGGCCAAACAAAGGTGATGAATCTGCATCCTCTGGCCACTGGAGGTGACTAAGACAGTAGGACCTGACAAGGGTACTCCTGTCTCCATCTACTTCCTCCTCTCCTGAGATCATGACGTTATTAAACTTTTCTAAACAATCTACATAGAGAATGCTTAATATTGCCTGTGACATTGCTCCAGTTGTTACACTGATGACCCTGACTTCTAAATGCTTCTTTGGTGTACTTTTGTCACCTCTTGTGCATACCAGGTAAGTGGATCTTGCTCCCAAATTGACTTTAAGTTCACAGAAAACAGGGCCTCCATTTCATTTCTTCCAGGTCCCCATGATATACTTGATAAAGTTCTTGTGAGGATGAGAGTATCATTTGCTTCAGAAACCAACATATTACATTTGTTGTTTTGATACAGGGTAAAATCCAGTACCATGAACACATTATTGAAGGATTCGACAACATGCCCTCTGCATTTATGGGATTGCTGAAAGGAGAGAATTTGGGGAAATCCATAGTGAAAGCATGAGAGAAAAATGACACAGGAGCCACCACTGGACAATTTAAATGATTAGTTTTTCACCATTCAGTAAAAATTAGCCTTAACTATCTAAATTATCTTAATTGTCTAAAAATTAGCCTTGATTATCTAAGAATAACTAATCACTTTGACCTACCTAATAAAATGCATTTAAATGATTTATAATTAGTGATAGAGAATGAAATTTTCATAGTTAAGAACAACCAATCACCAACTGACTACCTACTACTGCTCCTCCCGGGTTATAGCCAAAAAATTATGACTTTGAAGTCTGTTTGTTAGCTTTCCATTACTGTGACAAAATGCCTGAATAATCACCTTAAAAGAAGGAAAGGTTTATTTTGGTTCACTATTTTGGAGGTTTCAGTCCATGATCTATTGGCCCCACTACTTTGGGCCCAATTGGTGAGGCAGTACATCATCAGGGAAACAGGTGGGAAAAGCTGCTCATCTCATGGCAGCCAGGAAACAAAGAGAAGAACAGAAAGGAGCCAAGACCCAATATCCTCTTCAAAGGCATATTCCCAGTGACCTAATGTCCTCCCACTAAGTCCTCTCTCTTAAAGAATCCACTCCTAATAGTGCCAGTCATGATAAAGCTTTTAACACATGGGCCTTAGGGGGCACTCATCCAAACCAAAGCAGAGTCTAAAAGTTTACTCCCTCTGTGGCCTTGAACTTCCGATTCTTTGTTTTTAAATTGAGGATAGTTACCTCCTTCCAGAAAATGGTGAACCTGAAGTAATGAGATCTCTAACCCTATTGATTATAACAAAAGTCTCATATGAACCAAGAAAAGCAAATCTCTTCATTCACAACAGGTGCAAAAAAGATAGCACCTAGGAATACTTATAGACCTTTAAAATTTTTTTGCAAGATTTATATGGAAAATGGCTTTTAAAATTCTGAGGAACACAAATGATTTGAATATATGGAAAAAGTAACGTGCTTTTGGACAGGAAGATTCAATATCAGAAGGATGTCAATTTGTTGATCAATTCTGTCATCATTAAATTAAATAAAATTGTACAAAGAATGAGGCAAAAACTCTGTATAAAAACTGGATGGATATAATAAACTACCAATAATGGTCTGTTTTCAAAGAAGAAAACTGAGTATGGAAAATAGAGGGATACGAGAAATCTTTGGAATGATAACATTTGGTACTTTTTGAACTCTGAACCTTACAAACTTACTCACAAATACAATTAAAAAATAAAAGTCCCTTGCTTTTTTGTGTGTCCTTCTTTTACCAGTCTGTTCAATCCTAAAGTTATCAGTGGGACTGAACAAGGCAACTGCCTCTTAGGGTTTGGAGTAGGGGAACTCCATGACCCAGAGCAGGGTGAGCTCATGCACGGAGCCTGGCTTCCTGACATGGACAGTCAAAGCTCAGTGTTGTGTATGTGTATACACCAGGGAGCAGAAAGGGGATGGGAAGTATTGGGTGGTGTGTTGTAGACTGGTGGGGGATTGGAGCCCAAACAAAATGGATATAGCATCTGAGTCACAGTAGAACTCCCCAACATCATGTATCAAAGTCTAGAGGAACCAGGGGCAGTAACACATGCCTGTCATTCCTAGTGAGCACATGGCAGAAGGATTGCAAGTTGAAAGCCAGCCTGAGCAATTTAGCCAGACCCTTTCTCAAAATACAAAGGGCTGGGGATGTGGCTCAGTGGTTAAGTGCCCTTGAGTTCAATACCCAATACCCTCCCCTCAAAAAAAAAAAAAAAAACATCCAAATCGAGTGAAGAGTTCATTAGTGTCATGGCCCCATTTGCACAGGAGGGCTGCCTGGTGTGTGGAGTGCAGGCAGAGCAAGGAGAATATCATGCCTGGCAACTGCATCACAAGGGCTATAAGAGTTCAGGCAGAATAAGCAGGATGCTGATGTGGAGGGGTGGCCTGGCATGGGGTATATGATCCCAAATGAGGTGAGGACAGTATCCACGTGGGAGTGAGTGACAGGCAGTTGGATCCCAAGGAGGTTAAAGAGTTGCTCATGCATGGGATAGCCTGGTATGGGGGTCAGAGCCCAAGAGGAGCTTCTGGGTGGCAATGGGCTCACCAGGGGCTGGTGGAGCAGAGGGAAAGAAGAACATCCTCAAGGGGAAGCAAGAGTGGTGACCAGGTGCAGGATGTCAGAGCTTGAGTGGAATGAAGGAGTATTTACATGAGAGGTGGAAGGTTGGTGATACAAGACCAACATGTAGAAGGTTTGATCAAGGAAGGAAATGCAACGTAAGCCAGTTTATGCCAGAAAAGGGTTACAAACATGGAAAGAATTGGAAGTATTAGTGTGAACTCATGAGTCTCAATGCATGAGACAAATTATGGTTGTTACTAAGTTGTATGTAGTATATACATACTGCATACAAATGTACGTACGTATACACACATATATTCCTTAATTCTGTCCACTAAGTGGTTTTAATAGTGACATCCCAATAATGATGCGAACACCAAAATCTCAGAATATGGCTTTTACATACCATTCTCTACAAAACAGAACTAAATCTCCTTGGAGAAGTGGCTTATTCTAGGGCTGGGGGAGGGAAGATACAAGATGGGTGGGGTGAGGCTCAGTGTGAGGCACTTGCCTAGCATGCTCAAGGCTCTGGGGCCAATCCCCAGTGTTTAAAAAAAAAAAAAAAAATCACCAAGACGAACTTCTTAAACCAGAAAGTAAGGAAATATTCAAGGAATGAGGAGGTCATGTCAAAAAAAATTCAAATTCCCACTAGACAAATCATGGAAAATTTGAGCTCCAAAATAGGGGTACTGTCTTCTAATGTGTTACTGATGAAATCTGAGGATTTAGGATGTGGAGACATCAGGTTCTCTTGAAATGGGAAAGAAATCAGAGGCTAAAAGCACTTAAAAATCACAGAAAGAGGAGTTTGAGCCCCCTACCTTGTTTGGTCAGGTGATAATCCTCCCACAAGAAAGTATTATATTTCACCAAACAGAACTAGAAAAGCTATTAACTGGGAGAACCCCAGGTCTGCAGAAGGGTATAAATGAGATAGAAGACTAGAAAGAGAGGAAATGGAAGCCTCTATCCCATCCTGCCACACAGCTTGCTTCTGCCTGCTCCAGAATAATGGTAGCCAGGCTTATATGCCCTGGGCTGATTAGAAGACATTTCTCTAGACAAAATATACATCCTGCTGAAGAAATTATATTACTTCAAGAAAAATTAGCAGGCACTGACAATTAGGGTCTCAACAGCAAAACCTAGGTGAATGAAACTAAAAAGCTTCTATAATTAAGACTCTGGACTCTGAATTGGAAACACTGATCTCATCTGACTTTGGATTGTCTCCTTGAGGAAGTATGTACTGCATGTGGGAAGAATGAAAAGGAATGATAATTAAGAGACTGGGGTAGAAATAATCCATGTGCTCACGTTAAGACTATTTCCCCACCTTCCTTCGAGTTACGCTAGGATCATGTGACTGATTTCTGGCCAAAAGATGAGAATATAAATTATTTCTGACTCCAATGTTCCCAAACTTCTTGGTTACATTATCCTCGGGGTCATATAATTTTTTTTCCACAATGCCCTAGGCCAAAAGAAATACCTACCAATTCCAACTGCTGGTTAGTTCCAACAACACAGTAGTAGTAGTTGATGTTGTCTCTATCAGTAAGAGATGTGCTATCACTAAACATTAAAATATTCTGAGAAGCTCCAGGGAGTTCTCTGCAATGCCCTTGGAACCCAGTGGTGACCCATGGATCTAAGCTCTTTTTAGGCCAGTGCTTAAACACACTATACCATGTACCAATTCTCCCCTTCCTTGCCTCTGGGACCTTGGAAGTCATGTGTCCTAAACGGCATGGCTACAAAATGTCGGAAAGCAACAGAACCTGGAAAATAAAATTTTATTGCCTTAAGCTTCTGTGATTTGTTGTAACTAGCATTTGTTGGAACTAGCTTACCTGTAACTAGCACTGCTTTCTTTAATTCTGTACAGTTCAATATGGTGGCCACTTGAGATCATTAAAAACTAAGAATGCAATTAGTGGCACATACCAAAAGCTTTAAAACAGCAAGAGGCTAAGACAGGAGGACTACAAGTTCAAAGCCAGCCTCAGCAACAGTGAGGTGCTAAGCAACTTACTAAGACACGGTCTCTAAATAAAATACAAAACAAAACAAAACAAACAAACAAAAAAACAAGGGGCTGGAGATGTGGCTCAGTAGTTGAATGCCTCTGAGTTCAATCCCTGGTACATTCCCTCCCCACCCCCAAAAAAAGAGTCAGCCTCAGCAACTTAGCAAGGACCCATCTCAAAAAATAAAAAGGGTTGGGAATGTAGCTCAGTGGCTAAGTGCCTCTAGGTGTGATCCCCAGTAGCAAAACAGAATTCAAAACAGAAGCACAGGGAAATATTTTTTCATTAAACACAACTTTATTGTCTTGACAGAACTATAATTCACTTTAACCACTGCATCGCATAGGACACTGGTCTTCTAACACTTGTATAGAACGTGCATTGTTTTTAGTGTTACGTACAAACATATCACCAATCTAGTCAGTATCAAATGACTAATTCAGTTCAGATGACTTTTTTCTATGCACGGATGGAATATTATGGTGGGTTTACTTGGATATTTTATGCAGGTAGCACAAGTTAGAATATACCTATGCAGACAGCACAAGTTACAGTGTTTTGCACGTAAATCATAATCATTAAATTGAGACATTTGCTATTATAATTATTTTCTAGGCAAAAATATATGGAAAATATTTAAATTTTAAACAAGGCATATCATTGAGGCAAAATTCAGTGCAGATACAGAAGCTAGTACTACAACCAGCAAAAACGGGACTAGGAGAGTATAGTGCATATTCAAAGATCAACACCGATTGCAATTTACAGCAAAATGAAAAGAAAAGACTGTTGAATTCAAGTGTTGAAGATAACATAAAAGGTAACACTGAAGACAATCATTAAGAATTACTAATTTTTTAACAAATGAGTCAAAAAATAATTCACAAAATTAGTCATAAGAAATGAGAATTAAATTTCTAACAAAACAATTTTAAAAAATTTTAGCAGACTGTTTGTAAACACAGCACACTATTAAAACAGCTTAATTCTTACATGACCACACACAAAAAAAGAAAGTTAGATTTAAAGAGTCAGGCTAGAGGTGTAGCTCAGTGGCAGAGCACTTGTCTAGCATGCACAAGGCCCTACATTTAACTCCAGCACTGCCACAAAAAAGAGATTATTTTATGTATGACAATTCATTTAGAAAATTTTAAGACCTCTTAAAACACACACACACACACAAAAACCCTGATAGAAAAAAAACAAACCCTGTAATTTTTCGATTGTACCATTTAACAATTTTGCTCATAGAATATACATGAGCAAATTATATTTTGCTAACAGAGTATATAGGCATATTTGTCTAATAATATCAAAGATCAATTGATTCAAAATTTGAAAATTTTCAAGTTTTAGTTTCAGAGGAATTGTGTGATATAAGACACTGCTCAAGGAAAACTTTGAGTATATTCTGTTTTCAAAGAACATCCAAATTTACAAAGAAATGTCAATTCATTGCCTAAAATCTCAAATTCATGACAGATATTTTTGATCAATTTCCATCAGTCAAGGAATTTCAACAAGAGATTAATTTGTACTGTGAAGATGGAATTCTAGCTATGCTAAGTCAAAGACCAGATACATCAGAATTTAAAAGCAAAATAACCTCTCGTTGTTTTATTCCAGTGTACAATTCATATTGAAGATATTCTTGTTCAGTTTTCTGAAGTAGATTCCAAGATGAGATATGGATACAGTCACTAAAATTCTTCAGGACATATGCATATGTACAAATGTTATGGAATACTCACTGCTAGTTATGGAACCAAAAAAGCATAAAACAATACGTGATCTTGGGTTCTTTATCACTGTTATCTGGATGACTTATAAAAGAATTTTATAAAGATTTCCTGAACTAGAAAATCCAATTCAACATTTCCTTGAAACAAAAGGAATGTTTACCAAATATTATGCAAAGTGAAATAAGACGGACACAAAAGAACAGATGTTATATGAGCTCAGTTATGTGAAGTGTCTAAAATTCAAATATGTAGACAAATTAGAATAGTGGTCACAATGAGCATGGAGGGGAAATGATGAGTTATGGTTTAATGAGTACAGAATTTCAGTTTGGGATGATGGAAAAGTCCTGGAGATAAACAGTGATGATTTTACGAACATGTTAATATAATTAATGCTACTGAATTACACAACACAAAAAGAACCCCAACAGCTAACTTTACATTATGTATATTTTATTACATTAAAGAAGAATTGTAAAATAGGTAAAATAAGAGTGAATTCAAGGGTGGGGATATGGCTCAGTGGTAGTGTCTGTTCACCGTGCATGAGTCCCTGGGCCCTATCCCCAGAAAGAAAAAGAATTCATACAAAGAAATCTTGTCTTGTCCTGTGACTTAAAAGAAATTTCTTCAAAAGAAACTCGTTACTGGGAAATATTTTTAAAAGCACGAGCTTCACTGTAAAATAAAATTTGTCACAGGGCTAACTTTAACACTCATCAATGTAAACAAGAACAAAAATTCTAAATAAAGCTTAATAAAATCAATTCTATGAGGAGTGAGCAGTTGAAAAGCTCTTGATCTGATTATTCCAATGATGGATTTAAGTACATGGGTGATGGGCCAGACTGAACGTCATTCAGGCAATTATACATACTTAGTTACTGATAAATACTGTGCAGAAGGGTCTATGGTTTCCCTCAGTAGCTACCCAATATTTACAAAGCTATACTGTACAAAGAACTTGTATCCAGGTAAAGGATCTATTGTAACTCAATTAACAACAACTCAATTTTTAAAGAGGTTGAGTAGGCATTTTACCAAAGAAGACTTATATGAATGGCTAAAGAGCACATGAAAGATAAATCAACATAATCAGTTATCAGGCAAAGGCAAATTAAAACCACAAAGAAATCCAGAAAAGGCAACTCCACAGACAGAAGGTAGATCAACTAGTGCTGCCCGGGAGTAGGGGTAGGAAGGGGAGATAGAAAAAATCTAAGGGATCTGATTAAGGTGATGTTCTAAAAGCGGGTTATGGCAATGGCTGCACACTCAGTAAATTTACTAAAACTCTCTGAACTGCACACTTAAACTGTGTGTGTGGTTTTGCTTTTATTATTATTATTATTATTATTATTATTATATATAATTTATACCTTAAAAAGTTGGAAAACAAAGTTTGTGCTCTAGATTCCCAACTGACACCGGGATAAAACATCCTCTTATGCAAATTGGGTGGGTCTAACCGGTTATGAAACATCCTAAAACAACTTTAAGAGTTTTACATATTCCTCTTAATTCTTCCCATACATTATATCTTATGAGGATTAAAAAAAAAAAAAAAAAAAACTTACACCAATGTGGATGATCCTTAGGTGACATTCCTTCCATGCTAGAGTGCATCTGGTCAGCGGTAACTGTGCAGATCAAGCTGTCACACAGCAGACTCTGAACTGCAGGCTTTGAGGGTGGGGGGATGAAGGAGGCACCAGAAGAAACCGAAAACCCTACATCCAGAGGTAGCATTTCAAACCAAACATGTTACATTACAGCAAACGTTCCTGAGTCTCACATCAGCATTAAGGATCTCTTTATTTCCACAAGCGCGGAGTTTTATGGTTCAAGTTCTCTTTTTACAGGAGCTGCTTCAAATTTCAACCTTAGGAACTCATTTCTGTACCACTCTTCAGTCGTGGGGATTCTCTAGAACCCAGTGACCTGACACCCAAACCTAACACACTCAGGATCTTTAGTTCCTTTTTCAGTTAGAAATTATTATTCAGACTCCTCGATGAAATTTTTAAAGAATATCCATCAATACCCGTATATTCCGTTCCTTCAAGGACTACTCTCACACACAACAGAAAATATAACAACAGAAAATATAGCAATTATTCTTATCAATTCCACATTCTTTTCCTGAATCGTACTAGCTATCAATGGGGTTTCAGTCTATGTATTTTCCAGATGGTACGCGATCAAAATATCAAATTCCTACAGAGGAAAAGTCAGGTTATATACATGAAATAACTTGATAAACGAGAATATGTTATCCATCTCAAGGTGGCAGCTGCTACTCAGAACCAGCTGAGTGTTCCACAGAAATAAGGGCGCAGTATGATAGTATTAACATGGAATTCCCTAATTTTAAAATAGTGATAAGTATACACACACACACACACACACACACACACACACCAAAAACATGTCCAAGGGCCCACTCTGACCCAATCTGATTGTGACCTTTGCTATACAGAATGCTTACACTGTAATTACAGGAAGCTGTGCTTGCTACAAAGTTTTTAAAAAATATACACTTCTATTTTGCAAAAAATAAAAAAAAAAAAATCCATCCAGAATAGCTATTTTCAGCATGTGTCTTTTCTATCACCCTCAATCTATCTTCCTATGATGCATGGCTCAATTGGCTCAGGTGCAAATTCTTATATTCTCAACCCCCTTAGCCAATACTCAAAAGAAAAAAAGATTGTGGTGATTTGTATGATTAGAACATTCCCTGAAGGCAAACTTATTTGAGCTTCCCTGATCTGTTCCTATTTATCACATTCTAGGGATTCCTGCATCAAGTATTCAAAAAGTATATCACATTACCATACGTCCAGTATCCTGCAACACGGTAGTTTTCTACTAAGCAAATGAAAACATTCTAATGGACGAAAAATGTTTAAATGATTTCCATAGCATTAGAGAATATCATAGAAACAAAATGAAACTTAGAAATCAATAGCCCCATCCCTGCATTCTATGTGCAAAGAAACTAAACTTCAGAAGGGTCAAGTTATTTGTGCAAGGTTATATGGTGAGTTGGTTGGCAAATGGGGACATACCCAAGTAATCTGAATCCAGTCAAGTTCTCTTTCCATAATGCTACGTGGCAGTGAAAGAAGAGCCAAAGAAAGAGAAATACACTAAAGGAAAGAACTTTTCAAATATAATTTTGGCTTTTTAGAAGCATTTCACATCACATACCTTCTTGTCTTTCCACATAACTTTACCAACCAGCAGTTGACATTCTTGGTAAGAGGAATGAATGAAGATGCACATTCTTCTTAGCTGCCAACCCATTCAAGTTGCAGTTACTCATAAATGTTATGGTAATTTAAATTCCAGGTGTATATGTAAGGAGATGATAAGGGGACATTTTGGACTGAATTTCTCCTGCCTTACTATATTCCCAGAATTACTCTGCAGAGTGAAATAACCGATGTCTGATAAGACTTGAATTACTTTTAAATATTTTATCACATTTGTTGCATTCATATTCTCTATTGCCAGTGTGAATTTTTACGTGTTCTACAAGGACTGAACTCCGACTAAAGGTTGCTCCACAAAAGTCACATTCGTAGGGTTTCTCTCCAGTGTGAACTCTGTAATGTTCATTAAGAGATGAACTCTGACTGAAGGTTTTCTCACATTCGCTACATTTGTAAGGTTTCACACCAGTATGAATTCTCAGATGACGACTGAGGAGGGAATGAGTAGGAAAGGCTTTCTCACATTCGGTACATTTGTAGGGTTTTTCTCCTGAATGAAGTCTTTGATGATAAATGACAGATGTAAAATGGCTAAAAGTCATTCCACAATCCTTACACAAATACGGCTTCTCTCCAGTGTGAATTCTCTGATGTCGAGTAAGGCAAGAATTCTGTCTAAAGGATTTTCCACAGTCTTCACATGTATAGGGTTTCTCTCCAGTGTGAATTCTCTGATGTTTGGAAAGGGAAGAGCTATGACTGAAGGATTTCCCACAATCGTCACATTTATAGGGTTTTTCTCCAGTATGAGTTCGCTGATGTTGAGCAAGAGAAGAACTCTCACTAAAGGGTCTCCCACAGTCTTTACATATGAAGGGTTTTTCTCCAGTATGAATTCGCTGATGTTTAATGAGGTGAGTGCTCAGGCTGAAACATTTTCCACAATCATCACACTTGAAGGGCTTTTCTCTATTGCGACGCCGTTTGAGCGATGAACTATCACCGAAAACTTCTTCACATTCACTACACATAAAGGATTTCTCTCCAGCGTGCTTTCTATGTTTGGTGAGTGAGGCATTACAGCTAAAGGTTTTCCCACATTTACTACATTTATGAGTTTTTTTCCCGGTCTCAGGTCCCTCATCTTTATTTAAGGTTGTATCTTGTCGTAACTTCTTCTGACATTTTTCACACATCATCTTTTCTCTCTCAGTACGGGATAAGCTTTTGGCAAAGGACACCCCACATTTACTGCACTTGGCCTTATCTCCCAAATGCGTTTTCTGACGTTTGTGATGTTCACTAAGAGATGAAGAATGACTTAGGCTCTTCCCACCTTCTCCACCTTTCTGTGACTTCTCTGAAGAATGTTCTTTACGGTTCAGAACAAGATCGGAATGAAAACTGAAGGGTTTCTTGGATTCATTATACCTCCGCGACTTCTTCCTTAAGTAGGCTCTCACATGTTTCATCAAGTCAGAAGTTCGTTTGAAGTGCTTTGCACCAGGGCTCCTCTCTGAGTCAAAGTCTTCACCTTTACTGCCTCGCTGATGAGCTTTCTTATGTGTTCCTTTTGAATGTCGTCTGCCAGGACCCTCATCAGATCTGCCATAACGCTTCCTTAATTCTGCAGTCAAGCCACAACCATCATCCTTGAAGCATCTTTCTATTATTTCCTCTGAAGTTGATCCTTCAATAAGCACATCGTGCTTTTGAACAGACGGCTCCAACTCACCCCTAGGCTCACTCTCTAAAAGAGATCACAATACAATATTTCTGTTTGCAATAAAGAAAGCTACTGTATTTGGGACTAAAATAGGAACACAGACAGTAATGATAAGGAATCTGGCTTGGATAATTCTCAAATGGAGGTTTATAAAACAGGAAGCAGAAAGGCAATTCAGCAAAGCAAGATGAAAACAAGGCTTAGGACAAATACTGAGGAAGATGAAAAGGTGGTGTGACATAGTTAGAGATGCAAGTTCTTACCCTTATTTTTAATTTTTCTAACAGGCTTAAACCTATCCTCCCTACATCCAAACTTCTCTCTTTTCAAACAATGATAACACAAACATTTGTTGCCTACTTACCAAGTACCAGGTGCCATACTGAACACTTTATCTGTATTATTTTACTTAATCTTCATAACCCCCCAGTGAAGTAGGTCCTACTCATATCCCCATTTCATGAGTGTGACAACTGGTTACATAAAGCATAAACAGCTTGCCAAAGGTCACATATATTATAAGTGGTAAAGCCAAAAATTTCAGTCTGACATCAAGATTCATGCTTTTGATCCCTAAACCATAGACTCCTCAAAGCAGACAAACAGCACTAATTTTATAGAAAATGTTGATCACATCACAGATAAGCAGTATCACATATGCTAGACTCTTTAAAGGTTACAACAACTTGGCCTTATCAACTTTAGGATGCTCTAATCAGGCATCCATTTCCTGTCCCTCATACACTACAGCACTTTCAATCCTATTCTTTTAGCCTTAAAACTTCCTACTACCTAGAAGTTGGGCTTAGTGGCGCACACCTGCAATCTCAAGAGCTAGAGGGCTGAGGCAGGAGGATTGCAAGTTCAAGCCTTGACAACCTGATGAGATCCTGTCTCAAAACAAAAATTTTAAAAAGGGTTGGAAAGGTAGGTCAGTGGTATAGCGCTCCCAGATTCAACCCCTCGTACTAATAAAATAAAATTAAATGTATACGGTCTAAGCAGGGCATGGTGGGGCCCACCTATAATCCCAATAGCTCAGGAGGCTGAGGCAGGAAGATCATGAGTTGAAAGCCAGCCTCAGCAAAATCAAGGGGCTAAGCAACTCAGTGAGACGCTGTCTCTAAATAAAATAAAATCCCAATAGGGCTGGGGATTTGGCTCAGTGGTCAAGTGCCCTGAGTTCAATCCCCAGTACCAAAAAAAAAAAGTTTATGGTCTAGGAGATGAAATAGTATGAGAAAATTACTGTTTTGGGGGGTTGGGGCTATAGCTCAGTGGCAGAGTGTTTGCCTTGCATGTGGGAGGC